TCACTTCAGCTGGAATAGACCTCTCCTAAAGAAAAAACTTTCATTCACAATTCACAACAAAGCATTGTATAATGAATGTTGGGATAGTTTTGTACTTGCGCATGTGCCCGCTAGTCTCTCACGCAAGAATTGCGCAAAATTGCAAACTACGTCACGACCATCCCCCTTCCCCCACAATGCACTGTGAGTGTGTGTGTGATCAAATCTTCAAGTCACAAATATGCAGTGCATAAATTTCCACCCACGCGTGTGTGAACCCTAATGCGTGCAGCCCCTCGCTTCCCGCTCTGCACTGCGAAAAGGGTGGGGCTGAGCATGTGCCAAAAAAGTAAGTGGAACAAGTGGAAAAATCATTTCTTTCAAAATGAAGGGGGATGTAGGGATGGTTGTAAATTATGAAAAAGGATACCAACAAGAAAGATGCTTCGGCTGAAAACAAAAATCATACATCCATCCCTACATCTTTCTTAACCTCCCCTCACTAACCTATGAGACAGGGTTCAGAGGTGAAGTCGCGGAGAGGGATGGGACAACCTCAACTGTGATTTGTTATGAATTAGTATACCCTACACCAAAACTGAGTGCCTACATTCTTCGACAGAGCTGAAGAAAGAAAGATGTAGGGATGGATGTATGATTTTGTTTTCAGCCGAAGCATCTTTCTTGTTGGTATCCTTTTTCATAATTTACACCATCCCTACATCCCCCTTCATTTTGAAGAAATGATCACTTGTTATTATTATGAATGACACGGAAATTCGCGAAATCGCGTAAGGTTGCGAATTCTCTGTGGGGAAGACTGAGGGCACGTAGGACGGTCTTGGGCATATGTATAGCTACAGTATTGGCCTCTCGACTATGCTAGTGAGGTTGAGCCATGTAGAGTCATTCTCGCTGAATTTTGAGGCGTTTGTACGCGGATCACGTGATGTTTCACTCGTGTCATCCTATATATAGCGTCTACCACGCTCTGCTAAGGACATTTAGAACATCTTTGAAGGAAACCGCAACGAGTGTACAATAAAGTTTGTTTTTTGCCCACTCTCTCTGACCCCTCAACTCAACCTATGTATCCACCACTCCAGTTGAAGCTCTAACCAACAAAAGTGACTGACCACGCACAGTGTGTATCATAACCAAGTTGTCCGACAACTACATGAGCACACATCCTCTGCGTCATCAAGTCGCGATGATTGGTACTCCCATACTCCATTGACGTATACTCCCCTCTGAGCTGCCTCCCAGCTACTAGTGATCCTCCCACCAGACGATATATCCTCCAAAGTAAAATTGCCTTGTAGTCCGGGCGCCTATATTAGACAGAAAAGTATTCAATATCGGCACTCTATACCTCACTTATCGGCAACAGTGTATACATTATTGGTATCGCGAATGGAAAGTCAGGGGAGCGTGAGTGTGAGTTGGGGTGTGGCGAGGGGAGAGTGTCAGGGTTTTTTGTTGTTTCTGTGTTTGTTTACGTCATTGTTGTTGTATCTCCATTCTTTTGTGTTTTTGCTTTTTTGTTTGTTGTCTTTTAGCTTGTACAAGCATTCAAACACCGACTCCCAATAACGATGTGCATGCATGTTGTCTCAGACTTTGTGGATATAGCCTTAGTCGAGCCTCATCCGTTACTCCAGTGGACTAACAAGGTATGGGTAAGGTGTTGCATGACTCCACCACGAATGAGTGAAATGGTGGGAAGTACTAGTCATAGGTGCTGGTGCTTGTGTGCAAGGCATTATTTTGTGTGTGTGACTATAAAAAAAAAAAAAAAAAAAACAAGAAAAACACAAAAAAAAATCAAAATAAAAAAAAAAAATAAAATAAAAAAAAAAAAAAAACTTAAAACAAAAAAAAAAGGAAAATAAAAAGAAAATAAAACAAAAAAAAAAAAAAAAAAAAATAATATGACACGTAGAGAGACCATAGCTTTCTGGGGGAATTACATGGATTTCTCAGGAAACGCACATGGGTAACAGACACTGACTGCTGCCTAAAAATTTGTGTTTTAATTAAAGAACATATAACTGGGCTGATTCAACATACCAGTGCCACTCTACACCTGACGGTATGCTATTATTGTGTCATAGAAAGATAACTCTAACACGCACACACAGAAAGTGTAAAGCCACATGCACATGGAATATCTATTCATTGGTAATGCATCAACTGTACCTTTCCACATTGACTCCCGACGCATTCTGAGTGGTTGAGAGACCCATAGACAGGAACATTGCCGGTACATTATCTTCAGATCCAGAGAGGTGTCAGTGACTGTATGGTTATCCTAATGATACCACTGCTTGACCATAAGGGGATGGCACTGAACCTGGAGGACACACACTGCACAATAATGTTGGTTTTGTAACATTTCCGGGCGTACCTCCTGACGGGAGTTGAATGCAGCTGTTTACAAACACACTTAGCTTCTGACCTACCCAGTCTGTCTCACTGATAGTCCATGTCCAGTCAGAATGCTCCACTCTACCCTCCAGTTGTGAGGTCCCTCAGAGCAATGTCACCATGCGTGATATTGTCATCCAACGTCGAAATCCGTCACAAGACCTCACGATGGGGAACTGAATAGTGGACACTTACTATGTGTTGCATTGACTCCCACTCATCATGCTGCTCTGTCTTGTTACTCTGTCCCTGTCTCACAGTCAGTCAAGTTGGATTCCATGCCATGAGCACACAATCGTGGCTCATAGTGTGTATGAGGCACTTCCCTGCCAAAGCTATGCTCCAGTAGTGGTGAAGCTCTGTGGTGTGCTTTCAAAATATAGCTTTTTCTGTGAGCGGGCCGAGTGCCATCCGTTCGTTGTGAGCATATCTGCATATCGTGATAGTAGGTTAGCTACTACTGACAAAACCCTTTTGAAGTCGTACTTGCATAAATTGCTGTTATCTCACAGTCTGAAGCTATCCATGGGGCGACTGACAGCTCGGTGCATCATTCACTGAGTCCAGTCAGAGTCAGTGAGAGTCGCCCCATGATCCAGCAGAATATCTCCACGCGCTGTCCTCCACTGCTAGGAGCACCGACCAGACGAATATCACCATCTCTGAACTGCTGCCAGGGCCATGAAACGAAGCCTAGCAATTGAATGTCGCGTTTATATATAGCTGTAGGCATCACTGGACACTCAAACCGGCATGCGGCGCGCAAAGCACAACTTGTAGAAGAGAAAGACTTTACTAAAACAATGTTTTTCTGTCCTTCACTGAAGACGGCATGTACGTAATTGCACCTGGCTGTGCTTTTTTATCGGACCGATGCGCACGCGCGACTGTTTCCCTGCACGTCCTCCATGCTCACTGCGTATATGCAAAAACCTATGATAGCTAGCTACCACGAACATACACACCATCAAAGATGTTCAACCACTCACATAATCAGTTTACGTATCATTTAGTTAACACTAATGCCAGCAATGCGCCTGTGGAGGCGGTTTTTTTTTCCCTTTACCACCATATATCCTCCGGTGAACTTTCTGTGGGAGCTGCGGTAGAACTCTCCCTCTCTAGTTTGGTCAAATTCAGTGGTGGAATGCCCTAGGTTTCGTTGGTGGACTGGATGACAGACTAGCACGTAGTGAGCCATCTGCTGTAGCTGTAGTGCGCTTGGATCTCCATAGTCTTCGCTGACGTGGCCTCATCAGGTTTTCTCACGTTAGCTTCTCCTATTCGCCTTGAGCAGAAATTGTATAGTAAACTCTATATAAAATTCTATGGCACAGAGACCGATGAAATGTTGTGATTACTCACCTCATTTCTTGTGTATCATCTTGCCCTCAGAGAATTAGACCAACTAAAGCAATTGACACAAAAGAACCAGTCCAACCAAAGCCACTAGCGACCACATGAGCCTGTGACATTATCACCACGACTCTGTGCATCGTGCTGTTGTCGGACCTCATATTGTATGCACTGTTACTGCTACTGCATGCAGTCTAATCCAGACATCTCCGGAGTGGCGGTCTTCAACTGTGTCCATCTGTGATAGGCACAGTCGGGAGTCTGGTTTCGTGCCATGGCAGCCATACATTTGTGTCCCTGTATTGGAGTGGTAGCGAGGCCTTATCCGACAGCATTTGCTGACGTATTGCCTCTAAAGTGGAGCAGAAGTGCAGTATATTCATGCAGACCACTGTAGATGAGCATACTAAGGTTTACGTGTGATAGGTTACTACAAGTCTGCCTGTGTTGCTAAAATTATTGAGCCCCTGGCCTGCTGACCTGCCTGATATCTCAGGTGGATCACTTCGCTAGGACTGCAGATTGTCATGGGTTCGAATATTACCCAAGTCAGCTATTTAACCTCTCGGCGCGCATGCCAGCGAGGTTACAAAGTAGTTGGGTTGTCTGTCGGCGTGTCTGTGACTCTTCATCTCACTTCTCGAGTGTTTCTTCTTATTCGTATCACAAACGATACCACCTACTTAACGGGCAATGGAGGCAGAAATTTCGAACGGTTTCTTCTGAAACTGCTGCCGTTGCACAAGACTAGAGCGCGTAAAAGCCATATGCACATACCAACGGACAGATGGCTTACCACAGTCGGGTCGATCCGCGTGCTCTGCGTAAGATGCAACGCAGGGCGTGTATCGCCTCTCGCATGCTATCTAGTAGTGTAGTTAGCCTGCGTCAGACTCTGCGTGAGCTGGCAAGAGACCACTAAACCTCAACCAGCCCATCACTTAGTGGTACACAGCGCATGCGTTACTTGACACTGCTGGTCACAGTGCGCGGCGCCGAGGGTTTGCACTTCAGTGCTTTTCATTTTCTTTGGATTTGTTTGGGTTTAGTTGACTTTTGGTTTGCCTTGCAGCCTCTTGATGGTTAGGTATATACATCTACCCATGATCTACCATCACACCCCCCACCCCCAGTCACCCCCTCAAGCTGTTATGCACTCTCTGATATACCAGCATGTTAAATCCAAGTTGTCTGCAGGTAACTTGAGTGTCCACTCTGTCCATCCATCTACATGACGTTCCCCATCTCCCACTGAAGCACACCTGCAATAAGCCATCATTCTCTGAGTCTCCTCCTCCCACCAGTCTCAGGTCACCATCATTACAGTCCGCTGTGCAGACAAAAAAATCAGCAATCAGTAAAGCAGTATAGGTGAAAACAAAGACATACTAGTTTTCATGGGCACTCTATAGCTACTATACTACTCAAGATCTAGATGCAACCCACAATATTGTAAGAATCTTACACTTTTTGCATTTGACTCCAACGTCTTCCAAGTGAACACTGTGTGTAAGATTTCTTCTGAAGCCGCACTCCAAGAGGCTCAGTTGTCTACCAGTACATCTGACAGTCTTTATGAACACTGGCATTGAGTTTGTGGCTGGCCTCACTGAATAGTCATTGCCTAAAATAACAGGGAAACTGAAGTTACTGCAAGGCAACACATTGGCCATAAACATTTCTTCATACCAGTGGCCTCATATCCGAGGTCATTACAGATGACAGTGGACTCTGTCTGAGTCCACCCATCACCACTGATGGTCCCCCATCTCCTACTGAAGCAAATCTCAACCCTCCCCTCCACATCCGTGGCTCCATCCACCAGTCTCACTTGCCCATCCACACAGCTTGCTACGAAAAGAAGACAACACAACAACAGGCTCTCACATATATAAAATGTTGGGTTAGGTATGTTCAACTTAAAAAAACAATTTGTAGAAGTGATACCTGGTTCACATGAAATATAGGTGAGGTCATCCTAATAAGGGCAACGACTTGGACCACTGCGGCTATAGGTGCAGTCAAATATACGGGACTCATCACCACGGCAATGCAGTGTCAGGTTTTGAACTGGCATTGCAGTAATCTCTCTCCCCCCTCGCCGATAGTACCCTGGAAGTAAAAAAACAGCAAACACCTAGCTATGGTTTGGTTATGAGTTAGTAGCAATACAGATGTATATCGGAAAGTTGTGTTTTAGATTCACACTCTGCTAACATAAGAGATTACTTACCATCAGTATATCCAAGCTGACGGCACATAGTCTTTGTATTGGCTTCGTTATTGTTGTGGCAAATAGGACCCCACCTTTGTTGACGCAAACTAAAACAGTCCTTCTTCGGACACCGTTGTACCTAGTAACCTGACATCACCATCTTCACAGTTTGCTATTAACAGAAAATTATTATTATTATCGTAGTCCTCGGTGATAAAATTAATGTATTGCCTGGTGGACAGATGATTCCAATATCGTCATCATGGCTACACTCAGAAAAGCTGTGGCTGAAGTAAGTGCACTCCCCCAGTGAGTTCTCTGACCCTGAACATCTCACATAGTCAGCAGCAATTGGAAAGGTGGCTGGTATCCGATTGAACGTGTAGTATGTATGATATGACCCTGTAAAGATGTTAGTGTGGAACATGATTTATTCATAGATTTGAAGTGTCATATTATATACATGGTACACTTATGTATTTTGATCTCCGTAATGTGTGCACCTTCTTCGTAGCCATATCCAAGGGAGTGACAGAACGACTTTTGAGATGGCCTGAGTCCAGTGTTTGTTGCAGACAGTGCCCCAAACAGAGAAGAGTGCAAATTTCTAGTCTCCCTTCATTCTCTGACTGACCGCCTGTGAGTCTCACATCTCCATGGGCACAAGGGGCTGAATCTATATTCGTGATAGCAACTTGTGTATATCTGATAGCAATTGGTGTATATCTGAGAGTAACTGGATCTGATAGTAACTGGTTTAACTCTTTGGGGCTCAAAGCCCCTCAGGGGCCTTTAAATATGCTTGGATTGAACAGTGAAGATTCGTTTTCTTTCATACAGATAGGTTGTTTTGGTAAAAACAAATAAGCAATCATGCAAGAGCATGTAGGGGTCAGAATTCAAGAGTGTAGCTATAGTTAGCTAAATGTTTGGTATTTATTTTGGGTATAACGTGTCACTTACACTTAATACCTCCAACATTGGTGGGGTTAACAGTCAGTCAATTGGTTACTTACCAGTACACCTGAGGCTCACAGGAGACCCGCTACCTCCATTGGTGTAGGGACAGTCTATCAGTCTTGACTCAGTCCCCACACACTCCACATTACTCATGACAACAGGTAGCTAAGTGGGTAGTGTAATCAGAATCGGTTGGACTTGTACCTGCAATTTACAGATAATGACATTTGACACCGTAGTTCGTGTTTACCATTCCTTCCAAGCTGGCGACACACAATATTTGTGTCTTCAATTGTCCACGCTGTATCAGACACCACTCCCCATCTCCCATTCACCCATACCTGGAGCAGACCCCTGTAGTAGTTATTATAACTGTTGTAGAAGAGCTTCACTTCTCCTTGTTCAGGAATATCTAAAAGGCAAAGTTTCATGTCAGTGTAAGGTGTTATATTTTGGACCTGTAGCTGTGTGGGTGTGAAAAAGTAGGGACAAACTGACACACAACACTTCTCAAAAAGTAAAAAGCGTGACCTTTAAACGCTGAGCTATACCAGAGGGGCTCAAAGACTGCAATACATGACACAAAGCAAAGGCAGCTATAGCTTCTGTACACGATGGTATAGAAACCAGTCACACATTCATTAAGTATGAGCATGCATGTAATTCACCACTGTATGTATGTACCATTAAGACATGTAACACTCCAATCTGCATAGTGACTCCGTGAACTAGAGACACTGTAACATTCAATCAGTCGGTATTCAGTGCCAGAGCATCCCAAGTAGTTAAGATGTATTGTTCCAACACCTTCTCCAAAATAAGCCAGAGGGTAGCTTCTGTCAAAACCATCTGCATGTCACAGAAATTATCATGGGAGCAGCTATCTATGTGCAGCCTATCATGAAATTGTAAAATAGCTGAAGCACTATTGGGGCTGGGGAGAAGTAGCCTTGTTCTGAGCGGCCACAACAAAGATTTGCTTGTCATTCATGATCTAGAGTGTATGCTATGATCCCAGATCTGATGGTACTATATACAGCTTCCCCCCACATATTGATGTGGCCACCCTGTAGCAAACTATACATACTTTGTGTTTATATCCCCTATTCACATTGTCCAAACTTGATACACTTAACCTATGTATCCAACCACTCCTGAATCTACAACAAAATCGCTGACCAACTCACAGTGTGTATCATAACCAAGTTGTCTGCAAACTACATGAGCATCAACTTCCTTGGCGCCATTGCCAGTGATGGTACCCCATACTCCATTGAGGTATATCTCCACTCTGCCCTCCCAGCTATAGGATCCTCCCACCAGACGAATATCTCCATGCTTGTAGTCGGCACCTAAAGACACATTATTTTTATAGTACAGCATCTATATTATACACTAAACTTTATTTTGCGAATGTTATTGTTTATTATGTGACTTTCCGTTCCATTCTCGTATGTAAGAGTCATTGAAATAAATAGGTGCATGCATATAATTTTGTCTCAGACTTTTGTACCCTACCAAAAAAACATTGCAAGTTTAAAATCTGACCAAACAACCATTGAAGAGGTAAAGATGTTGAAAGACTCTGCACGAAGAGTGCCCAAGTGAAAAGGGTGGAAGTATAATACTTAGTCTTTATAGGCTGGTGTTGTGTGCAAGCATTTGCGTGTGTTACTATAATAGACATGTAGTAAGTTGCGGGAGGTCTTAAACATGGATTCCTCAGGGAAAGGGCAAGCGGGAACAAACATTGTAGCGGTGACTACTGTGTTGGTTGTGTATTTTGTTAAATGTTGAGTAGTGTTTTTGTTG